GGGCTCTGAGCAACCTGATCTAGTTGAAGATGTCCCTGCCCACGGCAGGGGGGTTGGACTAGATGACCTTCAGAGGTCCCTTCCAACCCAAACTATTCTATGATATTATTATGCTTAATTCATGATTGCCAAGACAACCTCTCTCTCACTCAAAGCAGGATCAATGAGAGCAGGGTGCTCAGGACTGCGTGTGGTCAGGTTTTGAATATCTCCAAGTATGGAGACTCCACAGACTTTCTGCGCACTTGTTCCAGTGTTGTGAATCAGTGAATCAGATGCCTTGCATGCTATTCACCAGTTGTTTGTAAAACTACTCAGTAAAACTACTCAGTAAAGCCGCACAGACTGGCAGACTGATTTTTCTTCAAATTTCTTGGATGCTTTTGTTATGATCCCTAATAAAAAGACAGAGTTGGACAGAGTTAGATAGAGTTGGAAATTAACTCCTCTCTGTCACAATATGCAATCTCTCTTCAGTGCTGATTTAAAAGCAGCATTGAGAATTCAGCTTAAACAATAACTTTAAGCGCCACCATAATTTGAGTTTGTTAAATGAACCAACAATTATTTCTTTGTATCTTAGCCCTGAGTTGAACAGTGTTGGAGAAACACAGCACAGCTTTTTAGGGAAACCTGCTGGAGCAACAAGAAACTCAATTTTCAGTGTTTCAAGTATAAGACTGAGTCACAATTTTCACATTGCCTTCAACAAACTGTCCATTGAAATGTCTGACTTTCTAGACTCAAGTATACTATACAAAATACCTAAAAGTGAGGCAATCATATTTTCATATTGTTAGACATCCCTCCTAGAAATTGGAACCCTCTTGAAAGGCTGATGATGAGTAAAACATCAGTGAAAATCCACTTGATGGAAAGAATTGAACTACATAATTCAGAGATATAAGATTCATTTCATCAGTCAGTGACTGAAGTCTGTACAGACTGCATCTTCTTATCAATTCCCCAGAAATATTAAATCTTTTAATTTTCTCTTTTCTCCCTGTAAAATAAATCCCAAATAAACTGTCATTCCAGAAATCTTAAGTGTTCTGTTTTACTTCCTGTGAAATGAGCTGCAAGAAATTGCTGTGTTACAGCCTACCCCAGTATTTAAACAAAAGAATGAACTATTGGAAGCCCAGAACTGCAAGTAAGCTGCAGAAACACATGAAATATCTTTCTTGAATCTTTTATCTTATTTTTTCTTTTACCAGTAAATCTAATGAGCTTCAACTAAATTGTACTAACTTCTGACTTCTTTAACTGTCTCCTCATTCTCCTTATCCTATCCAACCCCTAAACTGCTAAACACTGGGACCTCTACAAAAACATCAACTCCTTCACTGCACACTTTTGTATTTGTGACATTTGAAAGATCAGCTGGAAGACAGCTGAAACCTGGGAGGGCCAAATTTCTATTTCCCACCCCTTCCGCCTCAGAGCTTTCCACAATACTTAATAAAACTTCATAAACACTGGGAAGTGCCCTCTTCCACTGGCATAGCTTGTAAATATTAGTTCCTTACTTCTGAGAGGACAAACAACGAGGGGAAGAAAACAACTGCTGATCTAAAACCAATGTAACAGTACCACCTGTTCATTCAAGTTATCTCTATACAAAGTCCTAGGAAAGCAACTAGAATACATTAACGTAACTTATTATACCAACTTATGAAACACAAAGAGCAAAAGTATTTCAATAACAGGGATAACGCATGAAATAGCATTTGCTCAGTGGCTTCTGCTGCAGCTATATGAAAGTAATTACATTTAAATACGTGTCACAGAACACTCTTCAGCTCCTCTATTAATCAAGATTCTGATTTCTCTACCTTGATGGAAATATTTTGCCCATGAGCTGGAACTGTATTGATTCTGGGTTTGTCAGGATTGTCTGATGGAGGAAAGCCCTCAATTCGACAACTCTGGCATTCTTCCTGTTTTCATTGTCCATATCAACCTCCATCATCAGCACACCCCTTCCACTGGAATGAAGGTAGAGAGAGCCATTGAAATTGCTCTCACCGTAACTCTTTAGGGCTGCCTGGGCCTACACATAGAGAAAAAGAAGAACAGGACATTAAGGATCTCAAATCATAATACAGAATACTGAAACATCAGTTTGAGGAATAAGACTGCCGACAGCAATTTGGGCCTGGGAAAAAGGGTGGGGGAGGGGAAGCAGAGGGGGAAAGGTTTTTTTAGTTTTCATCTTTGTTTCTCACCATCTGACTCTTTAGTAAATTTAGTAAAACTAAATTTTTATTTGGCAATAAATTAAATTAATTTTGCCCAATTCGAGTCCATTTTGTCCATGAATGTAATGAGTAAGTGATCTCCCTGTCTTTATCTCAACGCACAAGCTTTTTCATTTTATTTTCTCCTCCTGTCCTGTTGAGGCAGGGGAGTGAAAGAGCAGCTGGGTGGGTCTCTGACAGCCAGCCAAGGTCAACCCACCACACAGGATTATGTTAATCCTAGAGAAAGAACCTTTTGACTTGGTAATAAAAGCTACAGATGACACCTGATTTTGCATATAAGCCTGTCACCATGCTAGAGCTTTCAACAAAAAATTATGAACTACGTTGAATTTTATGTATAATTTAACTTGACTTTCAGTTTTCTGAATTGTGTGAAAACACAAGCCACCTATTCCAACTGCATGTAGCCATCTAGCCAGAACAAACTCTAACCATAAAAAGTTAACTGTTTCCCTAACAATTTACCCCTCTCCACCACATTCATTGAACTATGTATGAGTTGACCAACTTTGTAGTATACACATATATTTGTGTTCCCATGCTTGAAAGTAGTTGCAAAGCAATTTATAGCACACAGTTAAACAGCTCCCAGGTTGACATGTATCCCTAATGCATGTGACAAGCAAGAGACTCCACACAGGTCTGAGTGTATGAACTGCAAAAGCCACAAGTTCACGCAACAAGACTGTAATAATCAGGGAACTGACCTGTGAAGACACGTTCTTGTTGATGATGGCTTTTACACTCACACCGTAGTCAAAATGTTCCAGTTTAGTCTGTCTGGAAAACAGCTCCACACTTAGGCCCATTGCTTGTGGAAACTCAAGCTATTTGGCAAAGTAAAATGTAAACATAATCAATGCATTCCCATCAATCGCCTCATGTGATTTGATGTCTGAACTTTTAGCTTGAAGTGGAGAATGCATATAAGCAAATGTGTATACAAAATTTTACTGATTTTACCCACAGACACTGAAAAATAAATCAAATGCAGTAAAGTAAGTATGAAAACAAAAGGTCAGCATGTTTCTTAAAAGACATTATTGATACAGATTATAATTTGATCTGCTGAGATACCTAGGGTCTTTGTCACGGCCAGGACTTTATTGAGCTAGGAAGTTTACAAGCATAAAACAATTATAATTCTAAAGACAACGCAGTAAAACAGCCAAGACATTAAAAAAAATAATTCCATAAATGAAAACCACCAATACCTGGAATGAATGTGTCACATCCACGTGGAAAAGATGTCTAAAATCTGCCTCACTGGATTTGTCCTGATATCTCCCCAGAAAGCTGAGAACATCTTCCTTATTGACCTTCAAGGTAGTCTCAAGCTCATGCTTCACCTATGTGTTAAGAATGTGAATAAGCTAGTTGCATCGGGTATTAACCCTGTACATTATAAAAGATGAGAGAAGTCATCCCTACATATTATGAAAAATGAAAGAGTTGAGAGCTATTACATTGTGGCTCAGAATGAAAAATGAGCAAAGCAGGAAAAAAATAACTGCATTTGGTAAGAAAGGTGAATAGATACACCTAGATAAGGATGAGAACCCTGAATCCATTCCTTCCCAGTACTTGTCATTATTAATAATATTCATGCATAATAATAATTTTAAAATATTATATTAAGTATTATTATAATACATTACTACACAACATATAATTATATATTATTATACAAAACATTGTATTAGGGAGCCACCAACCACATCATTGCCCTCTGAATTTTTTGGCTGCAGCATTTACATGGTGAGGAACTAAAGACCTATAGCAAGTTAGGTCTGAAAAGACAATAAACTGTAAGTAAACAGGTAATGAATCTCTCCTCCTAACTGAAACTTAATGGGAAATTTACTCACATTTTGGTGACTTTGAGTTAAAATGCATATTTCAACATCTTTGGGGAAAAATCTGAAGTTATAAGGATGAGCTAAGCCAGCACAAATCTAAAAAAAATTTTGAGAAGAAATGCAAGGAACATAAGATATATACAGTAAATCACTCATTTGCTGTTTTTTTTGGTATGCCAGATTGAAGGAAATTCTTGTGTAACTCACATAGGGGTTTTCAGGTTGATAACCAAGTGTAAGAGTTTGAACTGTTTCCTCCACCCCATTTATCAAAACTTTTGTTTCCAAGTAGTAGTGCTTTTGTTTTTTGTCAACAGTAAATGTCTCCTGCAGAAGGAAGCTCTGCAGAATGGGCAGTTTAAAAGGATGCCTGGAACAAAACAAGGAATAAGCAAAGTGTAAAAGACCTTAATAGACAACCACAAAAAGAAATCATGCAGAGTGCAACTCGAACTCCAAAAACTTTCAATTGCAGATGCCATCAGGGTGTCAGGTACAGAAGCAAAACACATAGGACCAGGACCTCTAAAAAAATTACTAGAGCATAATTACAATTTCATACAAACTACACACATTTACCAGAATTTCTGATAAAGAGTTTCCATCCTGGATTGAGGAAAG